CCACCCAGAGTAACACTCAGAAACAATTAAAATTGTATTCTTTAAAAGCAGATCTTTTTTATTGACTCCTGTAAAGGCATTGAAAACCGTTCTTGGGCAAACCTTTTAAAAGAAAACCCATGAAATCGTATGCACAGACAAATGCAAGGTCATGTCCTTGTGACATGATCATGTTACGTGATTATGATATGAGAGAGATAAGCTAGGGAGATTAAAGAACACTTTATACTGCAAAAAGTGTTACAAATAGTGTTGTCAGCATTGCAGTTCAGCTCGATGGAAGTTGGAGATTAGTTTCAGAAAACTGGACTACTAACAAAGACGGAGATTGTTTCTGCTGATTTGTTTTTAAATTTAATTATAAAAAGGCCGTCAGACTGCAAAGCAATTTTTCCAGTCCTGATTGAATCTGAATCTTTCATTAATGGGTTATGGATTTCCTGGTCGTACTAAAAGAAAGGCATTCTTCAGAAATACATGCCTCAAATATGTTAAGGGGACTTTGGTGGGAAACCAGAATTGAATATTACTATAGGTAAATCTTATATGATTGATTACTGATGCCATTACTTTTCAGATTTTTTAATTTAAATGTTTTTAGTTTTTTTTTTTAAATGCAGGCTGGAATCAGGGTTTTAGCTGTTGCATAGAAAATAGGAGGTTAAATATTAGTGTGAAAAACTTCAGTTGTCTAAGAATGTAGACAACTTAAGTTGAAGAAGTTAGATCACATACATTTCAGGCTTTTACTGATAAGAGTAGAACAGGTTAAAGCACAGTTATATCACACATACTGTAAGTGCAGTTAAGGAAATGAATGCGAAACGTTTCAGTTTGTCTTTGAAAAAAAGTTGGAATGGAACAATGAGACATTTGACTTAGAACTTGCATACATAAAATATTATAACTTTTCAAGTGGTCAGGAAAGGGGTATTTTCTAATTAAATGGAAAATAAATCAGTTAAAAACATCCTGTACCTAAAAACCTTTATTGTTCTTGTTTCACACTTCTAACTTTGACTGATAAAACCCTAGAAAATACCATACGTCAAAGACGTCAACAGTGAGCAGAATTTTGGAATGTACACAAAGCTTGTGAATTACAACATAAAGTTATTCTCTTACTAATAATTAAAAACAGCCTATAAGTGCTTATGTTCCTTGTGCGCTGTTATAATCAAAAAGTGATGAAAAAGTAAAGAAGCCTGGTAAGATTGTGAAATGGGAGGAAACAGTGAGCAGATTGAATAAAACTAGGCTCACCTTCTAATTGAAGGCAAGTTGTCTGAGAAATGGGTCCCCAAGTGGCTTGCACAATAGAGGTGATGTTTTAGAGTTTTAGAGTTTATTTTTGTTTTCATTTATGTAAATCCCAATCCCACAGGGGAAAGCAACACAGAAGAAGTTACAGAACAGAATAGACACGTCTACCCAAGATACACTCAGAAACACAGAGTGAAACATTCTTAGACAAGAAATCTCTACTGAGCTACTGTATGTCCAAGGCTTTGAGTGTAGCAGAGCCCTCTCTAAGTGCTGTTAGTCTTGAAATTTCTCGTTGAAGTGCAGGTAATGTCATAAACCAGTAGTGATGGTAGTTGTCCAAGCAGAGCCCACAATTGGCCAAGTGCTGCTGGATTTGACTTGAACTGGCTATGGTACACTGGTGTGATGTGCTCCACTGATACCTGTGGCTTTCCAGGCATGATGAGGTTTGTAGTGCAGACATTTGTTGATTCAATACTGCATGGGATTTGAAGTGGCAATTCCATAGAGTTTCTTTTTAAAAATCGTGGAAAAAAAATCAAGCTTCCATTAACTACTGACAATTTTACTAATTTAAGTCAATAGTAATATTACCATACATATTTAGTTCTGAAAATAGTTCTGGTTCAAGAACCATGGTTAGAAAACAGTATTGCTTTCTTGTCTGAAAATATTTTTTTAAACAATTTTATATTGACTTTTTGAAGTCCTAAAGGTCCTTTTGAAAAATGTTTCCTGATGTTAAATTAAATTTCACAATACACAGCTGCTGGTGTTCCTTACCAGAACTTGATCATGTAACATCCTGTAAGCGCAGCACAGAGCTGTACTCTTGGGGCTTCAGAGGAATTATCAAAAAAACAATTCTGGTCTTTTTAACAACACAAAGTAAAAAAAAAAACATTGCAGGATTTGAAAAAAAGCACATACGTTTTTTAAAAAATATTAAATTCCTCAGAGATGCAGTGTTGAAAAAAATAAAATAATAATGCATGTGGATTCTGTATTTTAAATGCTTTGGATTTAATCATTTTGATTAATTATTTATTAATGATTGACCATGATCCACTGAAGTGGATTTGACAGTTGCATAAACATTAGTGATTAGCTGATTGGGTACAGGTTATTTAGTCAACACTAAAAAAGAAAATATTAAAGAAATACAAAAAAGAACCAATTATTTCTGCTTAACAAGAAAAATATCATCCATATATTGGAGGCTAGACTAAATCAGATCACTGTCATTTAGGGCTACAACAATGAATATTTTGATAATCAATTATTCAGGCAAAACGATTCAACAATACAACTTCAGACACTGTGGTGCCTCCGGGGGAAAGGTTTATGTAACTGAGAAAAGTACTCACACCTTCACACTTCTCTTCTTTAATTTTCGTGGAGTTTTTCTCCATTTCCCCAGTTCATTCATCTTCCAAGGCAGTCCACAACCCGTTCTGTCAATCCTTTTTCAGTCCAATTTCCAAAGTCCGTAAAGTATCACAAATCAACTTCGTATCCAAATCACATAC